AGCCAATGACTTAAATCAAGAAATAGCTCCCTAAGATTGACAGAGATACTCACAGGAATACCTCAGCAAGCGAGAGTCCAAAAGTGGCAACCCAAAACCTGGAACCTCAATCAGTGGCTGATATCAGATGAGAAACCCCCCTGGGCACACAGGAGACTGGGTAACTTGGAAGGCGCTGAACAGACTGTGCTCTGGCACTATGAGATGCAGAGCTAACTTTAAGAAATGAGGCCACAAAGTGGAGTCATGCGAGTGTGGAGGAGAGCAAACCACAGACCACTTACTCCAATGCAGTGTGAACCCTGCCACATGCACAATGGAGGACCTTCTGACAGCAACACAAGAGGCGTTCCAAGTGGCCAACTTCTGGTCAAAGGAAATTTAGTATAATCCCAAGTTTTCAACTTTGTTTGTGGTTTTTCTATACATTATAACTGTATTCTCAATTTGCTTCTGACACAATGGAGAAATAAATCAATCATTACTGCAGATTTGGCCAAACTAAACTCAGACATTTTGAAAGTCTTAAGTTCCAACGTACCAGGACATTCACGGTGCAACTCATGCGGTTTTCTCTGCTGCCGTCATGCATGAACGCCCGGTAATCCAACAGGTTTTCTAACAGGCTGCTAACCAACAGGGCAAACACTTCACCTGAGCCTGAGAGGTATTTATGCTTCCGACAGTGCTCCAGCAGCCTATGGGCAGGTGCATTGGAAAAATGGAAGGAAAGAAAGAAAAAAGAAGGGAAGTGTTGAGTGAGGAAAGAAATCTATATAAATAAAAATGTAATGTTCATTTGTGGGATTCACAGAACTCAAAAGCCCCTGGACAAATGGGCACCAAATTTGGACACAAGACACCTAACGACCCAATGTATGTCCTTCATGCAAAAAAATTGATTATGTCATTTGGGAGTTCTAGTTGCTGGGATTTATAGTTCACCTACAATCAAAGAGCATTCTGAACCCCACCAACGATGGAATTGAACCAAACTTGGCACACAGAACTCCCATGACCAACAGAAAATACTGGAAGGGTTTGGTGGGCAGTGTCCTTTGGGTTTGAAATTGTAGTTCACCTACATCCAGAGATCACTGTGGACACAAACAATGATGGATCTGGACCAAACTCTACACGGATACTCCATATGCCCAAATGTGAACACTGGTGGAGTTTGGGGAAAATAGAATCTTGACATTTGGGAGTTG